CACCAGCTGTGCAGGTATTTGTGGTAGCTGGCAATCAAACAGCGTTGTTTCTGTTTCTCACTCACCAGTTCCTACATTCAAATTCTGCTGCCATTTCTACCTGCTCAGCTCTCCAGATGGTCATTAGGGTTTTGTGGGTATAAATGAAGAGAGAATTTGAGACTCAAATTTTACTGTATGAGTAAACTCATTTGAGTTTACTCATTTACTGTGTGGGTGTAAAACGGCTTGTCCCGCTCCAAGACAGAACTTCCCAGCATTCCCGCTTAACAGAGTGAGTTATGATGAGGAAAATCCATCACTACATGAAACAATGCACTAGTAAAGTCCAGTCTCGCTGTGTGTATTTGAGCGAATTGTGCTGAAATTAGTAGATGCTTTGTGTAAGCCAGGACACTGGTGGTGATAGTGGGGTGCAGAGGTTGGTACTTTTGCTCCATGGGAGCCATCACCAGGTGCTTCTGCAATAGGGGCCAGGTCCTCAGGTAAATCTTTATGGGCTGGGGCTGATCCTGGTCCCTGCCTCCCTGCTCTGGACTCCTGCCCCTTGCCCAGAGCTGTCCACAGTTGCCCAGGGAGAGCCCCCTCAGCACGAAAAGGGAGGACAGCCCTCCCGCTGTGTCCTCCTCACTGCAGATCGAGGAGTGCCATGTTTCCCCGAGCAGGCGGTGAAGATAGGGCACTTGTTTGTTGAAAATATTGATTTGTTTTGCAGTTGTGTTACTGGGAAACAAAACGTGCTTGAGATTTAATTATCGTTACTTGGTTTGGGGTTTGTTTGTTTTAAATATGGATTATTATAACTTTGTCATATATGCATTAATCTTAGTTATCTGAGGTTAGTTGTCTTATTTCAGCTCTGTGTATTGCCATGGTTTAACTGGTGACAGTGAATTTCTTTTTGATTGCATTTTGCTGAGGCATACTAACACATTAAGCAATGTCTACCTGTCATGGAAAATGTACAACATTTATTAACTTCCAGGAGAATATTATTAAACACCACTTCATAATAAAATAAGCACTTTAAAAGCTACAGCATAGCTTCCTATGCCTTTTAAAATATTATTAAAAGTGCTCTAGCTGAAAAAGAGAAAAAGAAATATATTTCCAAACCAGCTTTAAAGGTTTTAAAATGCTGCTCCAAAAGTGTAAAATATAGTAAGATTTAAGTCTGGCAAAGAACTGGAGTTTCAATCATGAATGTAACAGAGGGAATGGGGCAGCACATTTAATGGATGATGTTTTATGTTTAATAGCAGACATAGGTTGCATTGATTCATTTTGTTTGTGATGCCTCTTGGGTTTCTGTCTCTCTGCAAGAGCAAAGATGTAATTAGTGGAAACTGCCACGTGCTATAATATAATGTTGAGAGTCCTTAAGCCAGTATGTTTTAGCAATCTACAATTCTGTTATAAAAGTGCCCTGATGTTCTGACTTACCCTCTTTACCAGCTCAAGTATTTTATAAGTGTTTCTTCATAATTTTAGCAAAACTTTACTGAAACATCCCTTAGAAATGTTGTGTTACTTTCTTTCCTGTGCTTTAACCTTCGAGATTCAAAATGTGTGGGATTTTTATTATTTATATTAATTTTTCCTCTCTGGTTCCCATGCGTCTATTTAAAAATGCTCCTGAATGCTGACTTGGGAAGTGATTCATCATTTTCAAAGCAATTCACATTGAAAGAACAGCACTGTAACCAATGATTGCTAACTTCATTCTGTATTTCAGGACTATTTAAAGAAGAATTTGTTCTTTTTCTGTTTCTAGCTTAATAGCAAGATTGACCCAGCCCTTCAATAGTTTTTAGCTAATTTTGGAAAATATTTGCATGCGAGGCTTTGGCGTACTGATTGTTTTTGTGACTGTGCCCTCTAATGCATATTCCTGATGGGATTATGCCCAAATTATGCCTAAGTGCTCTGGCCTTGTAGTTAGTTTTGATTGTAGGAAACCTCAGTTTCAGCTGTCTTTGTGCTTTGAGGGGTCCTTTAATTCCCATTCCCCATGGGGAAAATCTGCACCAGGCATCCACTGCACCTGGCATCTCCCACAAACATCTGCATACTCGCCCAGTCTCCAGCCTTACTAGACATGTATTGGGGGGTGCTATGCCTCCTAATTTTGGGGAAACAGCCTCATCTGGGAGCGTGAGTTACCCCTACAGGCAATGGTGATCCAGTCTCTCCTATAGTGTGCCTTAGAGCCCAGGTTGAAATCGCCTGATATGGGAGCTTTTTTCTCTCTCTTTTGACTATGTGGGGAGATTAGAAACCTGATTTTAGCATATAAGTGAGATACACCAAGGTAGATCTTATGAATATTCATTTTAAAGATGGAGCAGCTAATGATTTAGCTAACTGAATTAGATACAGACAGCAGTGGATGCCAGGGTCCAGCAGAAAAAATCAGCTGTAAAGTAAAAGGAGATTGGTATAATAGGGATTATGCTCTTGCTTTATGTTTGGTTTACTTTCTTAAATAGAGGCTAAACTTGTCACAAAATTTAAAGTATTTCTCCCAAGACACTTAGTAATGAAGGGAACCATTCACTGCTTCATGCTGCCATCTGCCATAGAGAGAGCATGCTCCAGGCCAGTGCAGGAGAGTTAGGGATAGGCTTCATGCTGCGGTGTGGGAATGATAACATGCATGTGAGCTAAGTAAAACTCCCAAAATCCCAGTCCCCAAACTGCAATGACCCTGGTGAAACCAAATACCAGCACAACTTTTCCTTTTTATTTATTAGCAGAAATTGCAGGGATGTTTTTTCCACACCTTTATTGTCTCTTGTCTATGTAATAATTGATATGTTATTTACATATTGTTGTAACTTAAAAAGCAATGCTATTAAAAAACCTAATCTTCTTTTTTATTGGTGGAATTTGAACCCCCCAAAAGAAAGAAATTTTCAAAGGAAACTCAGAATAATTCCTAACTTTAAACTATTCACTAGCCCTTTTTTTACTCTATTCTTTTGGGGTAAAGCCTACTTTCTCAAGTGCAATCTATATATATTTTTTGTTATCTCAGTTAAATGCAGCTTTTCTAGCATTATTTCTTACTTTATGCAGTATGTAATATGTCTTATTTTGATGAAAAAAATAAATAGTGCTTTGAAAAAAGATACTCTGAGTAATTATTCAGAATTCAGATGAACTAAATTCCATGACTTACTGGAGAACATTTCCACAACGTGGCACCATCCATGCGAGATCTTGTGAATTTTAGCAGTCATTCCCAGGAGCATTAGGGAAATACCAAAGTGCAATTTTGGGATAATTGAGTTTGAACACTGGAGCTGAAAGAGCTGAAAGCTTCCTTGCAAAGCAGCAGCAGTGTGACAGTGGTGCAGCGTTTGTGATAGCTGGATTAGGGGGCACCCCTGGACTCGATGCTGCTCTCAACCCCTGCAGGCTGGGCTTGGCTCCAGCACAGATGTCCTTATTTGTCCTACTGAAGCTGCTTCTCACTGGCAACAGAGGCTCCTGCTGGAGCTCCGCATCTCACCCGAACCAGGGCAGAGCTCAGCATCCAATTGCTGTGTGCAGGGCAGCTGGAGGAACCTAAAGCATCTCAACATGGTGAAATTTAATCTACCCTTGTGAGTTCAGGCATTTTCCCCAGCTTTGGCAGAAGCAAATTTTGTTGTGCTGCATCTGGAACGTAACTTTTATAGCTTTGATAACTAACTTTCAATTTAAGGTTCTTGTGTTAAGCTAAAGCCTGCCTTAGGCCTTCACTGGATCTTGGACTGAGTAAGGACATGAAACTTTTGCCGGATTAATTCTTCACTAGCTAAACACCCTGTCTGATAAGGGACATACAGATAGCATACAGTCCAGGGACCGGGCTTTGTAGCCTGTCCTCATGCCTTGTTACGGTACGGTACAGCCTGTACAGTAATGCCATTGACTTGGAACAGCCTTCCATTCAAGTGAGCATATTTGAAGAACTCATATATCTTTTCCTTTTTCTTAATTTTTTTTTTCAAAGGCAGTCAGAAGAGATGTTTCCTAACAAAGGAAGCAGTTCTCTTGTGTACAGTGGACAAGGACATATTTAGTGGGTGGATGAGATATTTTTTCCCTTCAGAAATGGGAGTATTGAGTAATATTGTGTATTGAGTAATACACAGCGTAGATGGCTGCTCAGCAGCTGCTAAGTGTCCACGGATGGCATAAAGCTCCTCCTATTTGGCATTACTATGTACCTATATAACTAATGGCTAGCTAACATTATCAGTTTGTCCTTGTGGTCACGAGTGACAGCTTTTATAAACCTGCAACTTGAAAAGTAGCTCTGTGTCTCGTCAGCTGAAAAAAGTATATGTTTCCTGAGGTCTTTCAGGAACTCACCATTATTTTTTTTTTAAATAATGTATTTTTAAAACATTCTGCTTCCCTGCAAATTCATTTAAGATTTCACTTGCTCTTTTCTGGAGCACATTGCCCAGTCACTCTGCTGTAACGCAAATTCAACAGATGTCCAGTTTGTACTTATTCTTCCAGAGACTCCAGTGCAGCAGCTAATGAAAATGCAGAAATTAGTATTCTGGTCTCTCATTCTAGGAACTTTAACTTTGTTTATTGATAGTCTTGGTCAAATATGCTGAAATACATAACATTCATCATTGATTTGGT